TGTCCCCATCTCTACTAAGGATCACAATCAGCAGTGTTCCTTCATCTGAAGGACAAAGGACACTCATTTGATGACCAAATTTACTCATTTTGGACTGAGAAGATAGGTGGTTTGGGAGAGGCCATACCTATGGATATAGAAAATCCCTTACTCAACAGGGATGGAGGCCTTAAATACAACCAGTCTCCTATTTATCATGCTGCCCTTTCATCAGTCCCCAGAAAGATCAGGACCAAACTCAACAGGAAGACCATTGTTAACAACTGTTAATGGCCCATGACAATGGGTGGAGAAGGACTGCAGAAGTAGGATTTTCATTCACACCCCCCCCCCTTTGTCTAGCTAAAGACTCGATTTAGACTAGGCAGAAGTGAAACCAACATGGAGGATATATCAGGGATCTCTTACCAACTCTCCTCAGACTGAAAAAGCTACTTGGATGAGTAGCAAAATGTTTCAACCTAACAAGAAAGAAGTCCAGTTGCCATGACTCAACTTTCAGATAACCTCACCTGAATGATTGAGAATCTTCACAGCTAAAGGCAAGATAAACCTTTCTAACACAGAAAGGAATAAAGTAAGTAGTCAACAGAAATTACATATGACTTTGCAAAAAAACCAAAACCAAAACAAAAAAACCCACACCTAACAACGTTGGTATCTGTAGCCAAAAAAATCCAAGTTCTCAGAGGAGTTTCAGTACATACGTATGGGGGCCAACATAATTTTCTCTGTAGCCATCAGAGAGGAAGGCTTTGGGCAGGACTTTCTAACTACAAGGAATTGTGAGATTGGTAGTCTCTCTGCTAATTATGCTCCTCTGTACATTGTGGCTCTGAAAAAATACTAATCCCATAACTGCTTGTAACTTTCATGGAGTTTAGCAAATTCCATCCTTTGGTCTACAGGCAAGGCAGAATATACATGTTGATCTATTTTCTCTATAGAAATAAATTAATCTATCTGATCAAAAGCCTTTAAGAGCTGCTGACTCAAGCTATAACCTGTAATTAAAACAGAGTGCTAAGCTGTGCAATGGAAATAGTGCAAAACCTCACTTTAGAAACAACACACTCCTATCTAAGCTAAATAAATTACATCAGGAAAACATAGACACTTCTCCCAGAGGAAAAATCTGTTCTTTTTTTACAAAAAAAAAATTCCTGCCTTATTTCAGCAGCAAAGAATATATATTCAGAGCTGAAAGAAATACATGCTTCTACCATAGTCTCTCATCCTATGCATCCAGGCGCCCCTGAATCCTTGATTGGTTCTTGGCATTAACAATAATTGGTGACCTTTATTTTTCAGGTGCTGTTATTATTACAGTTCTTCACCAAGCATTACCCTACGGGATATCACCTGGCCATATGTTTGCGTCACTCACAAGGCTGCCCCATGCTGGTTTCACAATTTCCCAAAATCAATGGCTTTTAGAAAGAGGAATAAAATAAGCACGTTTATTTATTCTGAACATTTTTGTTCCTTCTTTTTTCCCCCCAAACAGTCTGCAAATGTTAACTTTAAATAGCCACAGAAGTCATATCACAAAATATACAATTTTGTAGTGATTTTTTTTAAAAGCCAACCACATAATTTCACCACATGGTAGGTTATTTAAGAGGCATTTCTTCCTGCAATAGTTTATTTCAAATTGTCATGACTGCAAAGAATTGTGCTTCATGGATTGTGGTGCATGCCCCCCTCCACTCTCCAGAGTAGACACACAAAAATGTCATGCCAGTTGTCTATGTTTGGGTGGGCAGAATCATCATCATCATCATCATCATCATCACCACCACCACCACCACCATCATCATCATCATCATAGATGGGCATGAAATGGTTCATCCTAGTTTGTAAAGGCCCCCTCCCCTGCCTCCTCTGACTCACCGGGAGAGCTTGCTTGGTTTTTTCCTAGGTAGAGAGCACCCAAAAGTTATTTACCATTCCCTTCTTCTGGGGGCATCCAGGGACTGTGCAGCTCACTGAAGGCCACACAATCTGGCTCCACAGTGAGATGCCTAACACAATAAGGTATCCAACCAGCCTAGAATCAATCTCACAATGGCCCACGTCATCTTGCCTACTTATATTAGTGCAAGGCAAAGTGTTGTGACTTTTGGAGGTGAATTGCTTTAAGTTAAGAAATCAGTGTGGCTATTATTTGTTGCATATTGATCTGTGTGATTCAGTGTGAAACTAAAGATTATTTCTTCATCTGGAGCACTTTGCCTTCAAAAGTTATGCCATCTGTGCAGGGGGAATACACCTATTGTATTCTTAGTACACAATTTACTATATCTCTTATATGTAATAGTGTACCTCTCATATTTTTTTGAATCCTGTACAGTATAACATAATATCCATTGTGTGGATGGTGTCGCTGGATACCTCCCTTGAATTTTCTCAACTTCCTCTTTCCAAAAACTCATATTTTTCCTACTGGCAGTACTAAATTAAGTGTGGAGAGGGCAATGTCTACCCTTTACTCCCTTTGCCTTTCCAAATTTAAAATTGACCACAAAACCCAGTCCCTTCCTATACAATTATTCCTTTATCCAGAGTGCTTAGAATTCAAAATCTTATTACAAGCAACCAACTGCAATGCAGTCATTTGTAATAATTGAATAAAACAGAAAACAATTATTTAATGTACAGAAGTGAGAAGATCAAAATGCTTTTTTCTTAAAACTCAAATTTTGTCATAAAATTTCAAATAAAATGACTATAGGAGGTTGATTTAAAGGAGGACATGTAATTTCAATCTGTGCTAAAGCTAGATTAAACAGAGATTCTCTAATAGCCAAAAGGCCTCAAAAGCTGGCACTCATTCTGAAAGGGTATCTAAAACCACATTTATATTGGTAAATAAACTGCATCGAGGAATGATTTTTCCACCAATATCACTTCTGCCATCTCTTCATTTGTTATTATCACTAACCTATACAACACCAATATGGAAGACAACTACTGTATTTGCCGGTGTATAAGACGACTGGGCATATAAGACGACCCCAACATTTCCATTCAAAATCTAACATTCATTATATACTCGCCGTATAAGACTACCCCTCCCTCTGCCTTTTACCCCGCCGCAGAGGCCAAAGAGGGAAGAGAAGGAAAGGATGTTTCTGGGGTGGGCTACCAGCTGGCTTGAGGCAGAGGCCAGTGCCTGCTCGCTCGTCCAGCCTCCGGAAGTGTCCTTGGGAGCCTGGTGCAGCGGCAGCGCTGGCGACGAGCGGAGCGGCGCTGGCTTGTCTCAGGTGTCGTTTGCTTGCCAGCTTCTCTCTGCCCGGGCAACATGGTGGTAGGTCACGGGGAAGAAGGAGGTGACGCTGCTGCTGCTGCTTTCCGTGAAGGCAACTATGCGAGGAAGTGACTGAGTTGGTGGGGACCGAGCTCCGCCCATTTCCCGGGCTGGGCTCACCTCTCCATGCTGCTTCCTGCTGGGTCATGCGGTGCCTGAGAGCCAGAGCCGCCCGCTGCCTCCTCTTCTTCCTCCTCCTCCTCCTCTTCCTCATTCACCTCTCCTCTTTCCTCCTTGCGCTACATGCTGCCCGCTCTGGGTGCACCCGGCGTATAAGACAACCCCCCCCCACTTGGAGGCATGTTTTTCAGGGCAAAAAAGTCATCTTACATGCCGGCAAATATGGTAGATGCTTTCTAACAACAGCTCAAATGATTCAATACAGAATTGAGTGCCATCAACACATAGACGTTCCAATTAATATAAGAAAATCTAGATAGTTTAGCAAAGGGCCAGTGAGAAGTCCAAGTGAATCAACAGAGATGAATATATACAATTTTAACTTCTCAGGAACCTTGTCTCCTATATATTAAGGCCACTGGAGTTGATGGTGTTGCCTAGTTGTAGCAGAAGTCAAACTGGCATGGTTCAGCTAATAATACTCAGAGCAACTCCAGTTGCTAACAAACCAACTAGATTGAGAGTGGAACAGAGGGTGGCTGGAACCTAAGACTGAATTTATTTATTTATTTATTTATT